TTGGATGCCTTTTAAGATATTTAAAATCTTTGTAAAGGGACAGAATGATACATTTTGAATAGTGGTAATGGTTTTTTTAAGCAGAATGCTATTTATTTAAAAAAAATTTCTATTCCTTTTTGTACATTTATATACTTATAAAAACAAAGAGATGTTGTATGATTGCCAATGAGACAACTATCCACCAAAGTCCAAGTGAAGTGGATGTATGCAATTTTAGTTGGAATACCAATATATTAGTAAGATATAACGTTTACTGCGATATCTTAATTTTATAGAAGGTTTTCATCAATAAGGAAAATGTGACAGGGTGAATATTGTAGAAATTGTATTTTAAATTTGTGCAAGCAAGATTTTACAACATTATGTTTTTGAATCCGGTATTATTGTCGGGTTTCTTAATAAGCAATACAAAATTTCGAATTGAAAGTATCTGACTAGAGAGGTTTATGCTGCTTAACATGCTCATATTTTTTTTTTATTTCACTTTTCAGATACAAGATTGAACTACTTTCTGATCAAAGCCTGATCATTTTAGATTTACAATTCAGCATATGTTTAGAACCAGATGTGTGTCATCCAGTTGTTGATGTATTTAAATCTCAGCTATTACCTATACCGCTGTGTGGAATGAACATGGATTTCCATTCAGGAAGTGAGTACATGCATGTATATTCATTCTGTATGTGCCTGTCCCAAGTCAGGAGCCTGCAATTGAGTGGTTGTATTTTGTTGCTGTATATCATAGATTTTGTTTAGTTTATTGTTTTGTAAATAAATCAAGGCCGTTAGTTTTCTCGTTTGAATGTCATTTCTAGGCCTTTTATATCTTCCTATGCGATTTGGGTTTTGCTAATTGTTGAAGGTCGTACGGTGACCTACAGTTGTTAATTTCTATGTCATTTGGTCTTTGGTGGAGAGTTGTCTCATTGACAATTATACCATTTTCTTAATTTTATATTAAAAAGAAATGATAGTTATTTATGTTTAATTTGATTATACATTGATATAGTTTTCAGCTTGTTTGACAAATTGACTACAGGAAACGGAATTTTCAAAAACGGATACTCACTCAATTTATCTGCAGCATTTTGTTTTATCAAAGATATAATAAAAACCCGGTTTGAAAGGAGGGGTATACTGTGTCCGTGTGTCTGTCTCATGAAATTTCTCTCACATTGTTTTCAGGAACAACTATTCAAAAGTTCCAGAAATTCAGTATCAGGCTTAATGTATTATTGTGTGATAAGTTTTCAGATAAATCGATCATCAACTTTCTGTTTACTGAACACCTGCATATTTTATCACATAATGGCCATGTTGTCATCAGGCTTCATGTGAACATGCTATAAAATTGTGATGCAGTTTTATATTCATTACGCATTAACTTCATGTTTACCGTTGACTTACTAATTCTTACACATAATGTCAATGCATGACATTTTCATCATTTTTTTTCAAGTCAGATATTTTGTCAGAGTAGCCTTAAATTTGGTATCACTATTTTAGATGAGCATGCTTGTTTTCATGGGATAAATCTTAAAAATATGAAAAAAAATAAAAAACAATAAAAGTGTGTCATTGCAAATCTCCTATTTATAGAAAGTATAACTTTTTAATCCCCTACTCACAGAGAGGGTTTGTATACTGCAATAATCTTGTCCATTCATTGATCCATAATTCTGTTACATTTTTTCTGAACTTCTGTATTTAAAAATGATAGATATTATACCCCTGCTCCAAAGGAGGAGAGTATACTGTTTGCCTCTGTCTGTCCGTCCGTCTGTTCTATGAAATTTTTGTCGAATTTATCTCAGAAACTGCAAATAAGAGCTGCCTGAAATTTATTACATGACTGTATGTCAACATGATATACTGTGTGAATTCGAATTTTTTTTTAGAGAACTACAAATCAGAGCTTCTAGAAAGTTGTTCAGCATGCTTTACCGTGTGATGCGGTATCAGTTTCATCCTTCATCAACTTCATGTTTACCGAATACTTATATACTATATACTCTAAACACAACAGCCATGTATGAAAATTTAGTAACATTTTCACGGGAACTACTAATCAACGCTTGTTGTGATTTGTTATATGGCTTCATGATAACATGCTTTACCGTGTGAAGCGGTATCAATTTCATCTTTCATCAACGTCTTGTCGAATATTTGTATATTATACTAACAGATACAGGCCAATAAAATAATTTGTCGTCATATTTTTCTAGGAAACTGCAAATAAGACCTTCCTAATATTTGATAACAAACTTCATGTGAACATGTTCTCGTCAATTCTATGTTTGAATTTAATGGACTTCTATATCAACAATGTCTTGGTGCTGCTATTTGGGGCTTGCTGTTCCCCGGAATGTTGTAATATTTTAATGTACAAAATCATGAAAGAAATTCTTTCTAAATTTCAAAAGAGAAATAATATATTTTATTATGTCAGATACATGGACGACGGTTTTATAATTTACCACGGAAACAAGCAAGAGTTGATCGATTTTTTTGAAATGGCTAAAAGCCACAACAAGTTCCTAAAATTCACATATGACATTTTAAATGCTGAAACCACATTTTTAGATGTTCACTTATTCAAAGGGAGAAGATTTCTCAATGAAAACATATTGGATTTAAAATATTAAGAAGCAGATGTGGTATGAGTGCCAATGAGACAACTCTCCATCCAAGTCACAATGTGTAAAAAGTAAACAATTATAGGTAAAAGTACGGCCTTCAACACTGAGCCTTGGCTCACACCGAACAGCAAGCTATAAAGGGCCCCAAAATGACTAGTGTAAAACAATTCAAATAGGAAAACCAAAGGTCTAATCTATATAAAAAAGGAGAAACGAGAAACACTTTTGAACCACACCAACAAACGACAACCACTGAACAACAGGCTCCTAACTTAGGACAGGTGTATACAAATGCAGTGGGTTTAAACGTTTTAATAGGCGCCAACCATCAACCTAAACTGAAACAGTAGTGTGACATTACAACATAAAAAGACACACTATAAAATATCAATAGTGAAAATACATATAAACAAAAACAAGTAAACATACACTGAACGAATAAGTTTGATCTATGACATAATATAAATACAATATCAATAAAAAAAGATGCAGAACAATATCAAAAAGACAACTTTAGCCTGGGACAAAATGGCGTTAAATAAAATAACGTACACAGGTAAATTTAAATATAATTATTTTGTTGTTAGGAGTACGGAAACATTTGAAGCCCACCAATTCATTTTTATACCTAAATCGGAACAGTTGTCACATTAAACGTGTGTTTTCCGGTTTTATCAAGGGTGAGGTAATACGATACATCAGAAACACAAATAATATAGATGATTTACAACAAATTCTTTCATAATTCAAATTGAACTCGATCAACAGAGAGTATAAGGAGAGAGAGATTAATTTCTGTATAAATGAGGCAACAACAAGAGAGAGAAAATCTCTACTGAGAAAAATTCTGAAAGACAAAAAAAGGAAATTCCTTTAGTTCGGTCAACAAAATATAATCCATGCATACGAAAACAGAGAAAATACATCATCAAACATTGGCATATTTTACAGAAAGACGTGATTTGCAATAATATTTCCATAGAGAAACCAACTATAGCATATAAAAAGGCACAAAAATTTAGCAAATATGCTAACATCAACTAAAATAAAAAAAATTAAGAAACATATGACAATCCATGATGATGGCGGGCCTATATTTAAAACCCATTATAGAATCTATAAAAATGCCGCCGAAACACTAGATTAATGTAGGATTGATACAAACTATCTTATAGATCTATCCATTCAGTTCAAGTATTTTACTAGAACATATTAATGCCCTCATGAATGAAGTATTTTCATTTAACAATTTATTAAAATATAGGATGACATGAATTACATAAGGATGTTGGAATTCGTTGATGTCGGGTTTCATTTGAATTGAAACTATTCCTGTACATGATTTTTCCATGATGTTTTCTTAAATAAAAGCGTCAGCATGTATTTGTACCTTTGAACCAAGATAAATGAGATAAAATTGTTCTCTCACTTGTTTATGAATCATGTACTTACATGATGCCTAAAATGCCACATGACGGTAAATTGTTCTAGAACAGTATCACCCATTGTGCTTTGTTACTGTTTTAAAAGGAATTGTATGATGTAGAATCTAAAGACTTATAAACAAATACTTTATTCAGGTTAATATATTAAATAATGGCCCCCATGAAATATTGTCCTCCGGACAAAACTTTATAGAAAATATTGTCCGCAGACATTATTTTATAATGAAATTGTGTCCTACTTCATCATGGAAGAGTGTCCTTCTCTATAAAATTTTGTCCTGTTCTTCGTTTCCTGGCAATATTTATTGTGAATTTCTGTCCATGACAATATTTCCTAATCAAAGTATGTCTTTCTTCATGATATTGTGAGAGTGTATCTGGAATCTTGTTCTTGGATAGTATGACTTTGTGTAACAGTGAAATGCTGCGTAAAATAATTTTAATCTAAAGTAAACAATCATGAAGCATGCACGTTTTTATATTTATAACTAACTAAACATTTTTTGAAAGGTAAGTTATTTTATATATCAAACAATTCTAAATTGTCATGACACGCCATCAATAAAATATTGTCTCAATATACACAAAATGTAACTTTGGATAACCTCCCTTTAACGAGACCAAATTTCATTGATATCAATCTAAGAAATGTCACATGTAGACGAAGTTTCATATGAAATTTCGTCTTTCTCTGGACATTTTTGCGTAGATAGGGACAAAATATCATGATACGTCTTTGGGACAACATTTCAAGGGACAATATTTTGCTTAACAAATACACCAAGAAATTCAAAACTATTTTTCAGATGTTTCTTTGGTAAGTTGGATGAAAGATAAGGGATTAAAAATAGGACAGAGTTTGACAACTGCTTTAGGGAATGAATTACTTGACAGTTTTGGTCTGACAAATTATATGAATGATGAACAGTGTAATAGATTTGAGGGCATTTATGCTGGAGCTGTGAATGGATGGAACCACAAAGGTACATAAATTTTTAAGTGTTTCATAAATTACAACTAGATGATGATGCTATTTGAGATTTTGCAGCATTTTATTAAATGAAGTAGATTTTTGGGATTTTTGGATACATTAAGACCTTAAAGTGTTCATGTTTGTGTTTTAAAGCAGAATATATAAAACACTGTAATAAGTAAAGCGCGTTTTTATGGAAATTTGTTAAAAAAGAGGGATAATTATTATATTGTCATATTAAAAACAAACAAATAAAACACGAAGCTTTTACTATTTCAGATTGTCCAGTTAATATGACATTACCAAGAATTCATAGCAGTATAACTTGTCATGTATCAGAACTCTGCACTGGGATAACATGTTGTATAGAAGTTGGAAAAATAAAGAAAACATTTACTGCTGTTATTATACTGGATTATTGTCACATGCAGCTTAGTATTGGTATAGAGCGAAAAACATTTGAAATATCATTGCTTCGGTACAAATGGGGTAAGTATTACTAAAAGGAGTTCATAAAGACAGCAACTGAACAACACAAACAAATATTTAGGAAAGTGAAGAAAAAAAAGTCTCCAGTTACAGATCAGCCTCGACGCTGTAAGTCAAGTTCTAATTTGCTAATAAACTAGAAACGTTAGGATTTAATTAAGTAGACTCTACTAACGATCTGACTTTAACAACAATTTCTCTAGAACATTGAGGTTTAAAATTCTGTAACATTTGACAGTGTTTAAATGCATTTCAGTGATTATCTTTTCAATTAATTTGTTTTTCAGGACAAAAAGAAAGTTTAACGGTGATGAATGTTATTCGATTAGAGTAAGTTTTATTTCATATGTTTATATAAGTACTGTATTTTGTGTCTTTTACATACACATGGTATTTTTAGCTCACCGGGGCCCGAAGTCGTCGTCTGTCGTCGTAAACTATTTCAAAAATCTTCTCCTCTGAAACTACTGGGCCAAATACCTTCAAACTTTAACTAAATGTTCCTTAGGGTATCTAGTTTATAAATTGTATCCGAAGTTTTGATCCATCGACAAACATGGCCGCCATGGCTAAAAATAGAACATAGGGGTCAAATGCAGTTTTTTGCTTATATCTCAAAAACTAAAGCTTTTAGAGCAAATCTGACATGGGGTCAAATTGTTCAATTGGTCAAAATCTATCAGCCCTGAAATTTTCAGACGAATCGAACAACTCATTGTTGGGTTGCTGCCACTAAATTGGTAGTTTTAAGGAAATTTTGCAGTTTTTTGTTATTATCTTGAATATTATTATAGATAGATATAAACTGTAAACAGCAAAAATGTTCAGCAAAGTAAGATCTACAAAAAGGTTTTTATATGACCAAAATGGTCAATTGACCCCTTTAGGAGTTATTGCCTTTTAAGGACAATTTTACACAAGTTGTTTTATGTTTTTTTAACTTTAAAAATCTTCTCAAATGAATCTAGTATAAATTTTGTACTTCATTTCCTTGTACGTCAAGAAACATAGACACTATGGCTAAAATGGAACATATGGGTAAAAAGCAAAAATAATCATTGATGAAAGATTTAAGCAAAAAAAATAACAGGTGAGCGATTCAGGCTCTTGAGAGCCTCTTGTTTTATTTGAATACATCAAGGAGATTTTTACTGTCCTATAATATTGAGTGTTTCCTTTTTATATAATTTGACATTAGTCCAAATCTTGTTTATGGATAGTGTTTAAAGCAAATGCCTTGCCTACTCTACACACTAGAAGCCAGCATAGTTCAAACTAAATTCAAAAGAAATATATAGCATGCCCAGTAATTCCCTTTTGCAAAAAATAGTATTTATTACTTCAAGCAATCATTGACAGGAAAAATATGTACCTATACTACGTGAGTTAGTCATTTTATAATATATTTTTACATACCTTAAACATTTGGTGTTGTACTTTTAGTGAGAACTGTACTAGTAGAAGTATGTTTGCTTCAAAAATGTGTTTATTTATTAATGGCTATCTTTCAAATCTATATAAAAAACAGGTTTTCTGTTTATGATTTGGCTGGTGAGAACATGTTCCTGTTGAATTTGAACATCAGTGTTTGTTTAGAAGTTGAAGGATCTTGTTTGATACACATACCTATCTTCAAAAACACTAAACTTCCGAAGTACCAGTGTAATTGGTCTAAAAACTTAAATTCAAAAGGTAAGTAATATAATTTTGAATCGAACGTTTTTGCTTTCAGTTAGGTTAGTATCATAGAATAGTTCTTGAATTGGTTTTTGGCATTATGACAGTTCCAAAAATAGATTTAATTTTTCAATGCATTTTTTACAATTTTGTTATTGTATGATAGAAGTTTGTAATTAGTTATATTTTGGAAAGTTTGAATTCAATAATGACAAATTAATTTGTACTCAAGTGGATTTTGATTTTTGATTTTGGTGTTTAACGCTACTTTTAAGCACCGCTTTTGGGCTATTTCGTGGCGGCCATTTTTTATTGGTGGAGGAAGCCGGAGTGCCCAGAGAAACCACCGACCTTCGATAGGAAAACTGACAATCCTAGTCAATTAAGATTGGAGTCGAGTGCACCCGCACGAGCGGGGTTCGAACTCACAACCTCAGTGTTAACTGGCTAGTGATTAGAGTAGTAACTACTTAGACCACTCGGCCACCGAGGCCCCTACTCAAGTGGAATCACTAACAGTAAGTCAATGATACTTAGTAGTTAGCTATATAAGTTTTGGCTCATCTCATATACCGAGGTTATTTTGTCCTCTCCTCAGTCATAGTCTATTGGTTCTGACATTTTTCTGTAGTTAAAATTTTGCAATTTATAAGTTTTGCTGTATACTGTCGACATTATACAGATGAAACATATCTTTGTGTCAACAGTTTATTTTCCGGATAACATTTGGTCCATGCATAAATAAAGCTTTGATATTTAATAACATAGTTTTTTATTCAGGATTTTCCTTGGAGAAGTTTAAATTGGAGAATGATATTTTTGGTACAGTTAAGGGTGTTGTTTCAACAAGATTGCTGGAAGAATTAGGAATAGCTAAGTATTTAAAAGAAGAACAGTGTAATCGACTTACTAGTCCATTTTCATTGGCAAATTCAAATGGATGGAATGATGGTAAGAATTATGAAGGACTTCTCATGACCAGTAAAATTGCTACTTAACTTGTATTCATCTTGTCACTTCCGATTCCAGTGTATAAAACTTGTATGAACATGATGAAATGTGCGGGGAACACCAATGAGACGGACACATGGGTGACAGGGAAATAAACATACGGTCACGTTTGAACAGACAAAAAAACCTTGAAAAGTGGGGCGCCTGTTTGGTTGTGCAAGATGTATAATTACGCAGCCTATTGGTCAGAATGGAAACATTCAATTCGATGCTTCATGTTCAAAGTGCAAAAAGTGCCACAATTTTTCAGGTAATGAATCCTTGCAATAACTCGTTGAGGGGTTCGCAGGTGACCTGTTGAAAGGTTAAATTTCTGTTCCTATCTAATATATTTATCGTTTTCCGGTGGTATTCCAAATAGTTCCTTTCCGTTATTCCGTTCGACCCCCAAAGCAGATAGAACCTACCAATTGAGAAGCTGTGATTCTCAATGAATCTACGGAGATTGTTCATGAACTCAACTAGTTTATTAATGAAAAATTGAGTTATTGTTACACATTTAGTTGTTGGGGTAATTGTCTTTCATAGGGGTAACTTAGTATATAAAACTTAGTGGAGAAAAATAAATGCTATTTTTCTTTTACTTCCTAATATTGCTCATATATATATTTCATTTTTAGAATGTAAACGTTTGCAGCGGAATACTTTACCAAAACTAAAAGGACCAATCAGTTGTTACCTGACTGAATCGTGTACTCACGTAGAGTGTTGTATATTTGTTACTCAGATAAATAGAACTGTATCCCTGTTTCTAGACATAAATGCATGCAATTACCAGATGTCTGTTGGAATTGAGACACTTATTTTTCGTAAATCCTTACTACATTATGAATTTGGAAAGACAGATATGTTTAGAATGGGCAATGTTGTTGGATTAAAGTAAGTGATTTGTGCGGCTAAAACTGATCAAATATACATGAGATTACAACAATCTGCAATGTGAAGCACTTTTACTACAATCAAAAATATAGTGAAAACGAATTTATGGTGGAAACCCTTTATTTTTAGTTTTAACTACTTTAATACTTTATTTTAAACTTGATTTCTCTTTATGTATTGTGTTTTGTTGCCATCCTTTACCATGTTTACTGAGATATAATATCTAATCAACATTAGAAAATTTGCATTTGAAACTAACACAATTTAATCACATTAAAAAGATCCTCATAAAACTCTGATTAATGATAACGTAATATCTTAATTAAAGATTTAAAAATAGTAAACTGAATGGAAAACTTTACGATTGGTTCAGGTTATTGCTTGTAAAATATTTCTCAATTACTCAGCTATATATATGAATTATTAAATTGATTTGCAAAAAAAAAAAAAACATTCTTATGACTTTGACTTCCATTGGAACTTATGTTTTAGAAAAAATAGATAATAATCAAACGTTGAATGATGTCACCTTTATCATACACCACGGAACAAAATACGTTAGGACTTATTATGTAGATGTGCATGTAGGAAGTTTTGATTCAATTTTTTTTCTAGGAGTTATGCTCCTTTGAACTTAGAATTCTGGCCTAAATATACTACTGCAGCACTTTGTCATTGAAACTCCTCTGAAACTATGCAACATGATTTCATTAAACTTTGTACATTATATGGACATACTATGAAGATGTGCATACCAAAAAGAAATTTTTATCAGTTGACTTTTGTAGGAGTTATTAGTCTTTGAACTTTGGAATCGGGTGAGATTTTATTTAACTAGTGACAATGTGGGGGCGTGGGGTATGTGAGTGTGGTCACAAAGGCAATTTTAACTTATTTATCATTTTTAATCTGGTAATACAAACATTTCATTTTTCACTTCTTTCAGATATAATATAGAGGATTTGAAAGGGGAGCACATGTTTTTATTGAATATGGATTTAAGTGTATGTTTTGAAACAGAAGGATCTTGCGTTTTAAAGCTGCCATTATTTAGAGAAGCGTTGCTTCCAAAGCCAGTTTGTGATCTTGACCAGGGATTTCCAAAACTTGGTAAAACACTGAAATTACATGTATTAGCCATAAAGAATTTATGGAAAAACTTTGTAACCCCTCTTTTGACAGAACAAGTATAGGCATACGTTTAATTGATAAAAAGGGCAATTTTGAATAATGTATAAATCCACATTTTTTCTGTTTAACAAATTTTTATATAGAGCATAAAAATAGTTTCCCTGTTACCTATATGTAATAAATTCCGGAGAAGCATACCAATGGATGTGCATGAAATTTATACTCTATAGCAATTTACTTATGTAAAAAAAATGCAAAAAATCAAACTTCGAAATTTAAAGCAGCAGAATAGGACATCTGAATTATAAATGAAAACAAGAAGACTCCACATGTCTGCAGTATTTGCATTATTTGATAATATTTATATTTTCCAGATTTTTCGTTGCAAAAGTTTAGTCAAAATTTTGGAAAGAGCAAATTGTCGTTGCCACAGTTTGCAGTAGATATTTTCTTGGAGCAGTTGGGAATAACTCAGTTTTTGGAATCAGATTCTTGCAATAGAAAAATATCTCCATATTTTCCAGAAGAGAATGGCTGGAACAATGGTAAATTCTTTCTAATATTCGACCTTATCTTCTATGCTTTTATTTGACATTATCATAGCCATAGCAATTCTCTCTCAAGTCTCTCAAGTCATATATAGCTACAACAATTCATTAATAAATTTTCATTTTCATTTGTTGTCACCAGAGCAACGCCATGCAGGGGATATAAAAATACTAGGTGTTCATCTTTCAAGTCTCATAATTGCTCTCTTGGAGTTATCTATTTTTGTTTTTATGCGCAATTATTGCCAGATTTTTACAAAATTTAAATCACATGTTTATATTAGCAATATCAGACGAGGTCAAACATCGTGCAGATCAACTATTTGTATACGACCGTCGAAGTCATGACATATCATGGTATACCAATGTCCGTCCGTACATTCATCCGTCCTTCCGTTCGTCAACACTTCGCACGATAACTCAACTTCGCTTTACCCAATTTTCATATAACTTTAATACAACACTAGAATTGATGGAAGAAAGCTCCCTTCCGATTTTTTTTTGAACTTTTGCTATGTCTTTCCAGAGTTAGGGAACTTTTACCTTAGATTTAAGACAATTTTTCATAAATCTTGCACTAACTCAAATATTTCTAGATTAGTTTCCTCAAAACTATACATAATTTTGGGGATTGATGAAAAAAAGCTTCCTTGTGATTTTGTTTTATTTTCCGTTTTTTTGTTCCAGAGTTGCGTAACTAAAAATATTACATTTAAGGCAATTATTCACAAATCCCGCATTGACTTCAGTATTCTTTGAATGATGTCCTCCAAACTGTACATTATTGAGGGGATTTGTGGAAGGAAGCTTCCGTTTGACTTTTTTAATTTTCCGTGTGTTTTCCAGAGTTAATGGACTTTAATTGTCAGTAAGTTTTTCCCAAAGTGTACCCTATCTAGAGTTTGCTTGGATTCATTAAGTGGACACTTTACATATATATATATATATATATATATATATATATATATATATATATATAATTGTTGGAATTGATAAAAATAGCAAACTGTTCTATTAAAAAAGAGAGTATTCTCAGGCATGTTTTTCTACGGATCCATTTTATTCGTATTATTTGCTCATGATTAGATGCCTTCCAAATATCGAATTTTATTCTTGCAACTATTTCAATATGCACAATAAAGTCGTATCATGCGCTCTTGACGCAGCTTTTTAGTTAGGAGTTATATGCCGCTTGGAAATATTAATTATATGGAAAATTGCATTTTAGCTTCTTTCAAGTCTTCATTTTTGGTATGTTTATGTCAAAAATTTTCATGATCAAAGTCTGGGATGAGTTAGAAACTCAGCGCTCATAAATAATTTTCACACTAGTTGTGTCCCTTGGAAATGTAAATGGTACAGGAAAGGGGATGGTAAGCAGTGGCAAGCCTACATTTCTTATCAGACTTTGTATGAAATTAATGTCAAAGGTTTTCTACCAGTTTTTTCTTGGATGAGTTTGAAAATCAATGCTGATTAACTATTTCTACAGGAATTATTTTCATTTGAAAAATATTATTCATTGTAAACACTCTCATACCCACATTTCTTGTAGGTGTTTTTTAGCTCACCTGGTACAAAGGGGGCAAGTGAGATTTTCTCATCACTTGGAGTCCGTCGGCGTTATCCGTCGTAGTAGTCCGTTAAATTTTACAAAAATCTTCTCCTCTGAAACTGCGCTGCCAAATTTAACCAAAATTGGCTACATTCATCATTAGGGTATCTACCTTAAAATGTGTCTGATGACCCTGCCTGTCAACCAACATGGCCAACATGACTTAGTAAAATGCAAGTTTTGTCTATTACCTTGAAACCCGCTTTAGATAGAAAAAATCTGACTGGACGTTCAGAATAATGAGATCTTCCTATTGTCCATTTACATCAAAACTGTCTCATGACTTCCTATAACAGTAATTGCCCTTAAATGACGAATTTTACCTATTTTTTTATAATTTTGCCTACTATATGTATGTTAACAATCATAATAAATAGAGAGAAACGTTAAATGGCACTAACTGATCAGCAAGACAAGATCTTGAAATAAGTTTACATAGCTGGCATCGTCCGACGACTCCTCATTTGAGTGATTGTCCTTTAATGACAATGTTTACCAATTGTTGACGTTTTTGTCAAATATCTTAAAAACAATAACAGACAAATGGAAACTTAAATAAGCAGAAATGATCAGCAAGACAACATGGTGGGAATCGTTCAATGACTCCTTATTAGAGTTATTGCTTTTTGATGGCGGTTTTACCTATGTTTACTCTTTTTTGTCTATTATTTTGAAAACTGTAAAAAGAGATATAGACACTTTAAATAGCAAAAATTATCAGCAAGACAAGTTTTATAAATAACTTCAATTTTGCCGAAGTCGTTAGTAGACTCTTGATAGGATTGATTGCCCTTAAGTAACGATTTCGTTTACCCTTTTCTATATTTTGGTCAAAAACTAAAGAAGATAAAGAGAAACTTTAAACTGAACAAATGATCAGCAAGACAAGATCAACAAAAAAAGAGAATTTTGTCATAAATTCTATTCTAATCTACAATGTTAACGTTAGAATGTGCCAATTGTTGAAGCTGCACATACTAGTGGCATTCTCTAAATACTGGCCTGTAGAGAGACTTTTCGTATTATAATATTACAGTAAACGAGGACTTCAGAGAAGACCATCGCACTTCAGCGTGACCATCTTGTCACCGGTGTACCTCTGAGTCCTACAAATATACTACTGTTTTCAATGCAAAAATATAAATGTTATTTTACATTGTAGGTTGTAAGTATCAACTTGGACTACCAGTTCTGAATAGTCCTGTGGCATGTCATATAACAAATGCATGTTCCAAAATAGAATGCTGTCTTGATGTAAAACCACTTCAGAGATCCTTCCATGCATATGTCCTTCTTGATGCTTGTTCAAACAGGATAAAACTTGGAATAGAAAACTACAATTTAGATACTGCTTATTTTGATTTTAAATTTGGTAAGTGTAATAAATCTATGAAAATTTATAGATATTTCATTTATTTTACCGGTTGGTTTAGTAAAAACACAAACCTTGGTAGGAGGAGAGGTATTTATCAGGAAATTGCAGTTGCCAATATCTTAATCATTGAAAATGATTTATATTTATCAGTCAAATCTCAATAAGTTTTATAATGAAAGAACCCGTTTTTACATTTGACTGATCTAAAGTAAAATTCATATGAAGCCATGAGTTTTCAAATTGCAATAGTGCACAGTTTACATTCAACATGATATGAAAAACGCTAAAAACTTTGTTTTAATATTCCAGTCCATCTGCATCAACTTTCTCTTAAGCTGCTAACTGGTGTTGTCCATTTCTGATTTTTTTTTAATCGTTTTAATCTATTGATTTCATTTCTTATGATTTTTTCATCAAATGGATGTTCTCTTGTTCTGTCTGTGCTAATACAAAAGGCTTTGTTGAATCTACTTATATAACTTGAATTTTTAAATTAATTTTATGTATTTGTAGTTAAAATAACCATTGCACAGGTATTAGTTTTCTTCAACTATATGATTTTGAAATTAAAAATTATTTCATACAATTTCTTGCGTTAGTTCACTTTCAACTAGTACGTAATCTAAGTAAAATATAAGTGTTAACTTAGACACATACTTACACATGTGTTGGAATATATTAAAATGTGGTGCTATGTCATCTTTTCGTTTTTATCGCCCCACTTTGTTCCTGACAAATCCCATATAGTAGCTGATAATTTACTTAAACATGAAAGTTGGCTTTTACAAATAGCATTTTGACTTTGAAGTAAAATATAGGGAGTGTTATCATTGTTTAAGGTAGAATGTTTTATTTTAATTGGTCAAAACTCTGCAATAGTTTTTTCAGGCTATTAATATACAAATAAGATGAGATATGATTTCTAAGATAACTGTCCACCAGAGACCAAATAATTTTAATGACTTGAACAACTATCGCAGTGTATAGGTTACCATACTGCCTTCAACAATAAGCAGATCCCATACTATACAGTGTAATCAATAAAAGGCCCTAACATGACAAATTATAAAAACAAAAACAAAAAAATAAACCAAGGTCCAGATATAAGCAAAAATCAATAACGGCAGCCATTTTGAAATTCAAAAGTCAAAGAGTGCATCTTCACATGCCAATTAACATTATTGTAAAGTTTCATTAAGTTTGAAGCATTTTGAAATTTTTGACATTTTTGCTGTTTCCATGGTAACGGCGGCCATCTTGAAAATGCCATACCCCGATTGCAAATCTGCACATGCTGGTTAGCATTATTGTATAGTTCCATTAACATTGGTTTATAAAATTCCGAGATATAAGCTGGACAAAAACCATGGAAGAAAAAAAAGAAAAACTAGATTTGTAATTGCTAGCAATAACGGATGGCACCCTTCCCCCATTGCCAGGGTAACGGCAGCCATTTTGAAAATTCCAAAGTCAAAGAGAACATCTACACATGCAAATTAACATTTCTGTAAAATTACATTACGT